GGGTGGGGGGAGTAAGATTTCAGAGGAACGGGGGTGGGGAGAGATTAGAGACTTAAGTCTACTGCCATGTCCCCTTTCAAGTTCTTCCTCAAACTAAATGCTTGATAATTGATAGTGAATGGCTGGGTAGTCTCCTTATTTCTTAAGACTGGGTTGTATTATTATTTTGTCTTCAAGTTCATAACTCTAAACTGTCTGTCTACCCATGTCCATTTCTAGTCTATGGAAGCTTGTATTATCGTAATACTTCTTTTCTGCTGCTGTTTCATCCAATTAAACTGAAGCAAGGTGCAGCCACTAAAAATTAGTGGTGATATCTATCCTTCCTTTATTAGCTTATGCATTGCTTGAAGTAGACCTCTGAGAGCTACTACAATATAAGTAGCTAAAAAGTTACTCTACTTCTGATATGCTGTCAGTAACCTCTATTTAAGTCAATAATAATAACACTGACAGTCATACTAATAAAAATTTGATTTTCTTTTTTTCAAAGAAAGAGGTCAGTTGGAGAGAGCAGTGAGATTCTGTGGAGTTTTAGGAGTATTTCCGTGTACTGCATATCTGCATTGTGAATTAATGGCATGGAAGCTCTTACATTGGACCTGAATTTACTCAGACAATGGCTAAGCTTAATGTATGTGGATTTTTGTGATATTAATATGTCATAGCATATATGTCTGCCAATTGATGAAAGAGTGTAAAGGACAATGTTATATGGTGATGGATGTACGGTGTGCCATATGAATAGTTACCATTGATCCTAGTGTCACAGCTGGCAGGATGTGTAGTAATAGCTGTGCAGCAATTGTAGGAACCTTGGTTTTGGTGTTTGGTTTTGGTTTGGTGTTACTACTGCATTTTGATTTGTGTCTGTTCAATATGCTTTTGTCATGCCTTTGAATATCTCAAAAGTATTGACTGGAAGGTAGAAAACGTAGAAATATGAATGGTAACATTAAACATGAAATGCTGTCATCTAAGGATGCCTCTAGTATTTTAATGAGCACAGTGTGATCTGTAATAAAACATTTATTAAGAATTTTCTTTTTTCTTTTTTGGATTAACTGACGCTTCAAATATAACTTCATCTGTGTACACTGGTACTTTGAAATGTGAGTGTTAAATTTGCAGAGCTAACACGGGCTTCTGACGTGCGCTGGTGAAAACACTTGTAATTCTGAATTTCTTTTATCCCAGGCCTTAGGCCTTGTCTCGGGTGGCAATAGAAACATCTTTTGGAGGGTGCCAATTCTAGTGTTTCAGAGCTCTGCTGTGAGGGAGGGAGTATGGACTTGAATACGCTCTGAACTGGCTACGTTAACTGGTGGCTCAGCCTACACCAAGATGAATCTGGTTTTGCCCTCCTCTCTGAGTGCGGAAGTACAGACAGCCTGAGGAGCCAGCTAGTCTTTAGTTTTGGTTTGACAGCTGTAGTTATGTCTTACCTAGATTTTCTCTAGCCCAGCAAGAAGGCTCATGTAATTTGTATGTGCACTAGCAAGTTTCTTTTGTGTATTTGTCTGGTTTGACCTCTGTCTGTCTTAGGAATGTAAAGGTCTCATACTTGTCAATATTGAACTATCAAGAGTTTTCTCATCTGTCATGTGTAGTTAGGAGGGAGGGGTTTCTAACTGATGAACTGTAGTTGACAAACTCATCAAACTTGAAAACCACCCGAGTTTGGAGTATCTCTGTTGCTGTGACTTGTTGGTCTTGGTAGAGCCTGTAGTGTGACCAGACCAATTGATGTCTGAAGTTCCTGACTTAACGCTCTCCATTTAAAAACAAAGATTGCCTCAGGTATTTCAGATTTAAAAATCACTTGCTGTTGCAAGACCTGGTTTTAGTTGTGTGTGTCTTGATCTGACAGATAATTTGAAGTGCTACTTTGTATAGGGATGTCTTCCTCCGCTTACTTTTTGGTAAGTGATAGCCAAATGATTGACTGCTCTTCAGAAATATATCGGGAAAAGAACGTTTTGCAAGTTCTTAAAGTTCACTGTGTTAATGAAACAGTATTTTCTGAGTTTTTCTTTAACGCTTGGAGCTTGCACTTAAAATATTGGTTTGGGGGCAAAATGTATTCATAGCTCCCTTTCTGCTATAATTGTGAAAATCTGTTAAACTTCAGCCATAAGGCTTTGCAGATAGCTTTTAGCACGTGTTTAGTAGGAATTTGATTAGCGTGGCAGCTAAATTTTCTATATGGTATATTTCTGTATGTGGTGTGCTTAAATTGTGATGCCGTTTGTCTTGAATGACTGTTCCTCCTTACCACTGTCTTTCTGGCTACTGGAATTGAGGGCAGCAAGGAAGACTTGAAATGTGCTGCCAGTTCTTCTTCTGATGGTCCACAAGCAAGTTTGAGGAAGATACAGCAGACTAAGCTGCATGTAAAGTTTTGAGAAGTGAAAGATTAGAAGAGAAGGAGTGAGGAAGGAGGGGATGGTTGGAGTATGAGCCGGAAAGCAGAGGCAAAATGTTCTGTCCCCATTAGAGTGTTTTCATCTGAACAGACCTTGAGTCTCTACGTTATTTTACTGTATACCAAAACTTGCAAAACTCTTGGACCAACTTGTTGTTGTCCCAGTGACTTATACAGAAGATAAAAGCAAGCTACCATTTGATAATCTGCTAACTCAAGAGATAGGCTGGAGCTTTGTGTTGTGGATCCCAAGCATCTGGTGCTGCTGGGGGCAAGCAGGTAGTGAATTTAAAGACAGTCATCATGGTTTCACTGGATATTTCTCAGTTTTGCTTTTGTTTTTTCTTTGAACTTCAGCTTCATATCGCCCTGTCGCGCTTCTTACTAGAAGGAAAGTAAGGACTCTATGAAGTCAAATATTCAAAAGCCAGAAGATGCCAAAATTATTGTATAGATTTAATTCAGGTTGTCATAAAAGAAATGAGAAAGAAAGGAACAAAATTTATATTTCTGAAATGAATTTAATACATACAGAAGAAGACTGGTGTTTATATATGTACCAAGTCAAATAATTTACATTTAAAATTAGCCTATTTAAGATAGCATGAACAATACGTTCTAGGCAGAAAGAATGTGTTCATGGAAAGCCTTTATCTCCACTTTTAGTTTTAGTTTATTTCCATAGAGTGGTCAGCTTTTAAGACAAATCTCGAGTACAAATTAAGGAGTGATTTGAATTTCACTAGCTAAATGCTCTGTAGTATGAAGAGCGAACTGCATATTCTAGAGATTGGAGCCTGAAAAGAAATACATTAAGGAAAAGTACAAATGTAAATCTAAGCTGTTTGGATCAGTAGGCTCTACAGCTACTAAACCACGCTTTTACCAAACATTAGCCAAAGATTTCAAGATTATTGCTTTGTTTGCTAACCTCCTTTAGTTCTGTATAGATCTAGAAATACAACTGCCAGCAAAGCCCACTGCAGATCAGTGTCTTGTTGGCGTAGCAGAAAGCTTGTCAAAAATGCAAATGAGAAAGTTTTCTAAAACTTTCTCTCTTAACTTCTAAAAGCCAAATCAGATGACCATGAATGGACAGAAAGCCCTTGGAAAAGAAAGTCTTGTTTGCGAATGTGGAAACTTGTTGATGATGTAACAGAAAGTGATGATCTGATGGCCAGTTAAGTGGCGTTTACAGTGCTAATGATGTGAGAAATCTTAATTTGGGGGGGAAGTTTTTACATAGGCTTTATGTTAATTATTTTCATGCTGATGGAGTGGGAGGATGAAAAGTTGATATGCCTGAATCTGTAGTATGTATAAAGAAAAAGGTAGGTTTAAATTGTATAATTTAAAAGCAGTCAACCACAGAAGAGGCTCTGTTATGTTGGGAAGGGGGCAGGAGACTTGTTCACCATCCATCTTCTCTTCTCCCCCAGTGAAATGCTCATATTTGAACTTATCTGTAATTAGTTAGCTATAAATAATAGTTATCAATGTATAAACACTATTCTTTATAAATACATGAAAGTTTTTTGTTCCATTGTGGTGTCTTATGCTCTCTTTCTAATTTGTTGCAAATACGGTTTTCAGTCAAGAGGCACTAGTGCTTGCTAGAAACTTCCCCGCGCAGTGTTAGAAACTGGTTCTCTTTAAAAGAGAGTGCAGTGTCATGCTAATGAGAAATAATCTGAATGTAAATAATCAGACTCTTATAAACCAGGTGGCTGCATGTTGTGTGTTGGGGGTGTTGTTTACTTTTGTGTGTGTGTGTTGTTTTTTTCCTCCTCTCTCCTTCGCTTTGGAAGTCGTGACCAGAGGAACAGAGGGGGTTAATGTGGGACTTCAGGATAGAGACCTAACAAATATCAGCACTAAGAAAAGTGTGTCTGTGTGTATACGCAAACTTGACAAAATAACCAGCTCCTTCAGAATACAGTATTATGGCAGTCTCTGAAGCCTCAGCTGAGATGGAGGGCCTGTTGTGATGAATTGTATTTTCCTTTGTATACAATTATTGCCCTGATGCACTTAAAAAGCTTGGATGAAAGAGAGAAGAGGTACAGTGTAGAGACGAATAAAACCAATGGTGAGTTAGCACAGCTTTAATTTTTATAAAGATTTCTTTTCTTTTTTTTTTAATCATAGCTGGAGGTAGGGAGGAAAGAAGGATATTTGACAAGGGAAGAGGAGAAAAGTATAACAACTTAGAGGCAGCAAGCCTAGATTTATGTTTTATCCTTCAAAGCAGATACAAAATTGCTCATGTACTGGAGAATTTTGTTTTAAGTTTTGAATAATGAAACAAAAGGGTCCTTAAAACCTCTTTAATTCTTTCAGGTAATAAAGTCAAGCATTTTTATTTGTATAAATGCTTGGCGGCATTGATGTTTTAATTGGATCTTGAATATTTTAACTAGACATTTAAAGCCTTTCATGGTCCATAGATGTCAGAACAGGGGTGTGGGTTTGTGTGTATGCAGTGGTGGTGGTTGTTTTAACAACTGTTAGCGTGGTGAGGTTTGAATTATAAATTTAATTTTGATTTGTGTAATTCATTTTCTTCTCTTGCTAGGAAACACCGCATTACATGACTGTGCAGAATCTGGAAGTCTGGAGATCATGAAGATGCTTCTCAAGTACTGCGCTAAGATGGAAAAGGATGGCTATGGAATGACTCCCCTTCTGTCAGCCAGCGTGACCGGCCACACGAATATTGTGGACTTTCTGACGCAGCATGTACAGACCAGTAAGACGGAGCGCATAAATGCTCTCGAACTTCTAGGAGCGACATTTGTGGACAAAAAGAGAGATCTGCTTGGTGCTTTGAAATACTGGAAACGAGCTATGGAGATGAGATACAGTGATAGGACTAATATCCTAAGCAAGCCTGTGCCACAAACACTAATTATGGCCTATGATTACGCTAAAGAGGTAAACAGCTCAGAAGAGCTAGAAAACCTTATTGCAGACCCTGATGAGATGAGAATGCAAGCACTATTGATTAGAGAACGTATTCTTGGTCCTTCACACCCAGATACATCCTACTATATTAGATACAGAGGTGCTGTCTATGCAGACTCTGGAAACTTCAAGCGATGCATCAACTTATGGAAATATGCTTTGGACATGCAGCAGAGCAATCTAGATCCACTGAGCCCTATGACAGCCAGCAGTTTACTGTCATTTGCTGAACTCTTCTCCTTCATGCTGCAGGATAGGGCAAAAGGTCTGCTAGGCACTACTGTTACATTTGATGATCTCATGGGTATACTGTGCAAAAGCGTCCTCGAAATAGAACGGGCTATGAAACAAACGCAGTGTCCTCCAGATCCAATACAGCTGAACAAAGCCCTTTCCATCATTTTGCATTTAATTTGCTTGTTGGAAAAAGTACCTTGCAGCTCAGAACAGGAACATTTTAAGAAACAGACTATTTACAAGTTTCTTAAGCTTCAGCCTAGAGGGAAGAATAACTTCAGTCCACTTCACCTTGCTGTTGACAAGAATACTACGTGTGTGGGGCGCTACCCAGTTTGCAAATTCCCCTCTCTGCAAGTTACTGCTATACTGGTGGAATGTGGTGCTGATGTAAACGTCAGAGACTCTGATAATAACAGTCCTTTACACATTGCTGCACTGAACAACCATCCAGACATCATGAATCTTCTTATCAAGTCGGGTTCACACTTTGATGCCACAAACTCGCATAAGCAAACTGCTAGTGATTTGCTGGATGAGAAGGAAATAGCAAAAAATTTGATCCAGCCCATAAATCATACTACGTTGCAGTGTCTTGCTGCTCGTGTTATAGTGAATCATAACATATACTACACGGGACACATCCCTGAGAAATTGGAGAACTTTGTTTTGCTCCACAGATGATAGTGTGGAGTCCCAGAGTACTGTTGTTGAAGCACGACTTGGTGACAATGTTTTTCTTGAGCACTGTTGTGATACACCAGCGTTCCCTTAGCTTGCTCCATCTTGCGCTCATTGGCTAAAGCGTTGTTAGCATCAGATCTACAGAGTTGGTTACCCAGTATTTAATATGAATATGCCATATAATATATTTTGTGGATTATTTAGAAATGTAATGCCATATTTAGACTCTTAAAATTGTCTGCCAAAGGCTTGTCTATTCTGGTCTTATTTGCCTGTTGGGTGTTTGGGACTGAGTTGAATATTTTCCACTGATATCTTTTTACTATAACTGTTGTGTGGATTTTATACAGTTGGAAGGTCATCATTTTTGGTTTTGCTTGAGCATTTCTGCTCTTACTCTGTTCCTTTTCTATGGACTCATTGCTAAACTGCACAAGTTGTATGGACTTGTTAACATTTGCAACTACCATAAGTGCTTTTATCTTCTCTATGCACTGGCTTAAACATGACTGTTGTGTGTGAGCATATTTCTATGCAGCAGTTGGCCAATTTCAACTTAAATGCCAATTTTGTTTTGCAGTTTGTTTGGAGCTCTTCTTGAGAATGCTGCCTTCATAGCATGACAAATTTTGGAGTTACATATCAGCTCTCCAAACCTGGGTTTGACTTTTTTATTCTAGCTGTAACTGAGGTCGCTTTCCTCTTGATCCTCTGGAAATTTGTGCTAAATTTGGGAGAAGAAAATCTCTCCTGTTCTCATGGTAATCCACTTGAACTCTAAATCTGAAAATCATTTTATTGCATCATGCAGTTAGGGGAAGAGTCCTCATCATGTACAACTGACACCTTCCTCTTTGCACTAATGTCTTGCTTGTGCTGGTTATGTGACTAGATGTGAAGTTTGCTCACAGTTTAACCTCAAACTTAATGATACACTTTAACGAGAAATAGCTCAAATGTATGCCGTAGTTTAAATTTTCAAATCAACTTCTTTAGCTACAAAGGAAACTGAAGCATGTTGGTGGCATGACGCTTATCAGTCCAGATCTAGACATCATCTAGTGTAACTATAATGTAGTGAGTGGCTGTATGCCAGGGTACTGGAAGTTCTATAGCCCTGTCCCTTTTTCTTCATTTTAAATATCTTTATAAGTACTTGCATGGATTTTTCATCTCTACTATCTGTCAGCTGTACTTAAAGAAAAAGCAGAAGTTCTGTTGTGTATATAGCTCCTGATTAAAGTTACCTATTTTTATAATATTTGCACAACAGCTTAGCTTTTACAACAGAAAGGGCTCTTTTGACTTGATAAGAAGTCTGTAAATGAAGATCATAAAAGAGAGTGAGATTCAGGTAATTAATATAATTCAGCACTTTACTGTTGATTAATAGTAGAATTTATTATGGCACATTAGCCCTGCAAATGTCTTAAAGTGAAGTTCCTTTCTGTTGAGTAGAATACAGTTTACCTGCAAGTTTAGTGGTCTAGCATAATGGATATTGTTTTCAACGATATCCACTGAAATGTTTCATTTCAGTGATGGGCAGTAGATGTGCCTATGGGTTTCTTGCTCCAGAAATTAAACGAGTTGATCTAGGCTTTTGTCAGTGACAAAGATATTTAAAAGCCAAATGGATTAGATAAAGGAAAAGTTGATTTAGGAAGGTCTTTTCTTTTTTTAATTTGCTGTTGGAGTATTTTTGTCTTTTGTGAATGAAGCTGAGGAAGAATATGTCTTGAGAGTGTGTAAGAATTGTTCTTCCTTGCTTCTTGGCTGTTTCAGGTTTCCTCTTAGTGTGCAGTGTGGAGCCAACTAGTTATCCATCCTTGGGAAAAATACTGGGGTGCTTTTAAGCAAAGTTATGTTGAAAGCAGTGCTGTTTGTGTATTGCTACTCTCAAACTCTGTATTTTGAAGCAACGTTCACCTGTTTGTCCCAAGGCATACGTACATTGTTTGTATGAAATTCTGAGTATGAGGAAATCCTGTTAGTTTCTCTTGCGAAAATGCAGCAGTAAATTTCTTTTCAATTGGCTGAATTTCTCTGATTTGCAATGATTAAAACACATGCCACCCGAGTTGTCATTTGTGAGAACAAGTAGTTTGATTTTTGTATTTCTTGTTTTTGATATGCTTCTCTGCTACTCTGTAGGAAAGAGTAATCAACAAATCACATCACGGTAGAAATAATCCACATTATACTTCAAGTCATTAAAAAAAAAGTCCTCTTTTCTGTGGGTTACAGAGAAAGGGATTTTTAGGTCACTGTTTTATACTCTGAAATCTGGGCTGCTCTTCAGTGTTTGTAATTTAAATTTCTATCTTTATAACTGTCCAATTGCCTGTTTAATACTAATTACTTGGACGTTGTTACTCCTGAAATATAGTTGAAAAATTATGGGAGTAAATGCTATATTGTTAGCAAATTTTTGAATGAAAAATCACCCTAAAATAGAAAGAATATCGCTTTCTAACATATGTAAATCTAAAGGAAATTACTAAGCCTTACAGGGAGGCTTATTCTGCTAACTACTTGCAATTTTTTTGTGCCCCCCCTCCCCCCCTTTTAAACAAACTTATCTAATAGGATGTACTGACTTATTGCATGTAGTTCTATCTAAGTATCTACCCATATACATCAATCCTAAAGAATAACACCTTCATTCAGAATTTAGTTTTGCAAGGTCATGAGGCTATCTGCTGAACTCTTATTTGTGATCTTGTCAGATATTCAAATATAGGTGTCTAGATGGACAACTTAATGCATTTAACTCTACTTTCCACATAGCCCTGTATGTTTACATTGCCCTGTTTATACCCTGTTTAACTTTTGCTTCATTTTAAAAGAAATCGGTGCAGAGCCTCTGTTGGATAACGCGTTAGGGATTAGTTAAGGCTTTACTGATTGGGAGGGAGGGTTACGACAGTAGACCCTGTCTGAGATGCCCCTGCCGCTATGGCCAGTGCTAACGGGTAGTAGCAGTTTGGCCTTCCTCTGCTCCTAATTCAAACCAGGGTTGTCTCCACTTCAGTATAGATATCAACTTTCTGGACCAGAACTTTTTTTATTCTTAGCCTTGTTAGTCATTCAGAGATGAGAAAAAGATTATGTTGGTGAAATATGATGCTAAAGGCAATAGTGCTGCCAGCTGAACACAAGCTGTGGTAAAGACAAGGAACTAAAGAGCATCCAGAACACAAAGAATGGTTTTCTTCTTGTCATATTTTTAACTTTTTCTTTTTCTGTTCTTCTCTGTCTGCCTGTTTGGGCTTTTTTGCTGGTGAGATGTACTGTTTCAGAGCTACCAACCATAAAATTGCTGAGAACACTGAGGAAAAAATTGTATGCCCTTTAAGGGTGTAACAGGTTTTAAAATTGGTTAGACAATTTATGGGTATGTCTGTCTTAAAGATAAGGATACTGAAACCCCCCTACTCATTGAGGGGGCTTGGAGATTTTTTTGTTTGTGTTTTTTTGTTTTTTTCTTTTTTGATAATACTCAACTCAAAGCACTTTTTCCGTTAATCTTCTTGGGCTTCCACTGAAATACTTCAGCCAGGAAGATGAAAAGTATGCTGGTAAAAAATAAAATACTCTTCTTACCGAGTTCTAAAATTATATTCCTATTTTTATATCACTTAGGCCTTGCCAGTAACAAGATTCCAGTTGTCTGTGGTGTCTCCGAGGTTCTGATTGTTGAATGCACCGTGTAAAGGCCTTTTTTGAAATGTAGGGCAACAGTGTCGTTAGTTTTCCAATTGTAGTCTGCAACAGTCCCTGGGTAGGGAATATTATAATATATTTCCTAAATCCCCAAAGAGTCCTCTTTTAACAACTGTTCTGAAACTGGTTGAAATTAAACTCTTTCCTTTTTATAAAACACTATTTAAAAAAAGGATTGGAATGCTGTGGCAAAATCCTTACACAAGGATACAGTCCTTAATAGGAAAAACATGTGCCTCTTAGTTTTATATCAACTGCAAGGTAATTGCAGAAGGATATGACTGCTCTTGAAATAGCTTCCTCATGCTTTGAAACACACGGAGTAGAAGGACCACTGCACTCTAAAATGTTGACAAATGTGAGTACAAAGACTTAACACTAGTTTCCGTCTTCTGTGACTACAGTAAAGTCAGGTGGTATTTAATGCTCCAAAATAATTTTGAGGAGGTTGATGGAGACATGAAATATAGTTTGTTTTATACTGCTCAGATCTCTTGGCTTAGAGTGCGGAAGTAACTGTTGAACCCTCAGTGAGGGCAGAATGCAAAGTTACCGTTCATTTGGTTTGACCTACCTTTGTATTTGTGTTCCGGTCTATCACAAAGACTTCCTATGCAGGGCTAGCTTCATGTATTGAAATACTGCAGTTTCTTTTTTACGTGAAGTAATTTAGCTTTAACAGTAATGTAAAAAAGGAATAACAAGCATATTTCTCTGCTCTTACTCTCTCTAGGCTCCAAATGCGGATTACATTAAAAATATGTTTTGGAGAACGTTTGTCTGAGTCTATATATCTGTTTTCTTTAGGGTCACTGTAATATTGGTCGATTAAACCTCTCTTTCAGATGAGTTTGGGTAGTTAAATGTGAGTGCTGCAGCTTTAGACTTAGTCTTCATGTCATTAATAATCACACCTTAGACAAAACGTCTGTTTCACTTTCTTTCTTACAGTGGAATGGTGATCCATGGGCAACAGTAAGGAAAAGACTTAAACCGGAGGAAAGAGGAGGCACAGTTTTCAGTTTCTAGAAAATGCAGTTAGTAACACTATTAACTCTGTTTCAGCTATAGTAGTGTGTGTTTATAGTATAAGCAAAAGTAATAATTAAAACACACACACACACGGTGAGGGGGGGAGTTATGAGAAGATCATTATTAAAGGGTTTTCCAGAATGGAAGACTTTGAAGAACATTGCCATCATAATTTTGAGAAATCTTTATGGTTAGGCACAGTAGTCGGAACACTATACTTAAAAGGCAGTGTGCACTTCCTTTCAGAGAACTAACTTGTTTAGATTTAGGCCTCATCAGTAACAAACAGCCTCAAGAAGAGGAGGTACTGGATGAGGAAAACTGATTCTGAGCTTTCGCAGTGAGATAATTGTTGCACAGATGGCTTAATGAATCAAATACAGATTTTTCTTAATTAGGAAATGAAGAACCGGAAAGAATCATTTACATCATTATTCATCCCTCTGCAGTTGTGGGTGATAATGGATGTTTAGTCTAGAACTGTCTGCTTGGCTCTGTCATCTGTATGCCTATGCAAAAAGCTTCTGACCCTAGCAAATGCTGCCTGATGGTGGGTAGAAGACCAAAATCCATGGTACCAAGTAGCACAGGAAGAGGGCAAGAGAGGCCGAGGGTATGACATGTTACCCCCTGCAAAGGCAGTGCATCTGTTTTAAGTTTCCCAGATGATTATTTAGAGGGCCATATACCATGCACCGTGGAAAGAAGAGGAGAAAAAACAAAACAAAAAAGCTTACCTTGTCACTGATCTCCAGCATTCAGAAGAATTGGAGAGGCAGAGGCAATAGAAGTGAGCATAGAAACACAGAAAGAAGCACAGAAATGCTTCCAAGCACCCATCAAAAGCCAGGAGATACAGGGCTAGTACGATGTCAGTATAGGCAGTCTACAAACAGCAACTGAGCCGCCTCTGAGACCAAAAAGTGTAAGCTTAGGTTCAAAGGGTTCTTTTTATCGTGTCTCCTGAGGATTTATCAAGTCCTGTCTTAAGTCCCTTGCCAAATTTCTCTTTAGAAGGCTATTTGGAAGTTCAGTCCTTCAATAATAAGAAACTTAATTTCTATTTGGTATTTATTTTTTCAGTTTTGCATATGTTTGATCTTTTAATAGTTTCAGTACTGCTGCTCTTTTCCTTGATTCCTGAAAGTTATCCCCTCTCCGTCTTAATGTGGTTAGGCTTAAAAAAAAAGGGGGGGGGGGGGAAGCAGAAAGCTTTTTTTTTTTATTGACTATAAGGAGGAGCAAAGAACAGAGAATCTAGGAACTTGTTTCTTTGCTTCTATGCTGCAAAAAACCAAAAACCAAAACGGATTCACTAATCTTTTTCGCTACTGAACCTGCAATTTAACTTGTCGATTCTTTCCATGTTTCCAGGAAGATTTATTTAGCTGTGAACTTATTGAGATTGTTTTCTCTTCAGACACTTTAGTTTGTGTTTGCCTATTATCATTTTTATTAGATATCATTTTGTTATCTTCATAATACAGCATTATCCTGACTGA